TATATGCTATTTACACAGGAAATAGAGGCAAATTATAGTAACAGCGCATTGCTCCTTCTCTAAGCAGAAGGACTATTTTAGCCTCTGCGTGGAAAGCAGACCACAAGAAGAGCAACAGTGTAAGCAAGATGCCAGTGTGCAGACTACTGCAATCATCCAGCTGAGAGGAGGGCGGGCTGAACTTTTCAACAACCCATCTAAAATAAGACCTCTGTGAATCCATCCCCTTTCCCAACTAGGCAAACTATTTTAACTTTGGCAAACTCAAAAATTCAAACTGTAACTAATGCTAATTGGTTTCTAAGTGCTACCATAAAATAATTTCCCTATGTGAGAAGCACCAGTGTTTTCTTGTCCTCTCATTAAAACAAGACCTAAAGGGGGAGTTATCTCCCTTTGTTTCTATCACTTCCAAGTCACCACTGTTTCTCCTTCTCATCTTTAAATATCTCAGCCAGCCTACTAGGCCTGACACTTCTCCTTGTTGCAGGCATGTACTGTTTTCCTACTCACTTCCCCCCTTTCACTAAGGATTTGAACACCTCACTCCCCCTCTCCATGCCACCAATCACTCTATACTTCCTTTACTTCAACATCCATGGACACAGATCCATCCAACACCCTAGCCTGTAAGCTCCCTGACTTCATGTCTCCAACAAGCGATTCTTATGATTAGTCACATATTCTTCTAGAACTTACCGTTACCAATAACTGTACCATGTCTGTAATTCTGATTTCTAGCATGCTTCCATACCCATTTCCTTAATATGTCTCTCATCACATCAGGCCCAGATAGGCCTGAGTTCCAGACTTATAACCAACAGCCAACTTGACACCTTTACGTAGATGTCTAATAAATGCATCTCCAACTTAACACGATCAAACTAAACTACTGACGTTCCCCCCAACTCCATGCTGCCCACTGTCTTCCCCGTCTTGGTTCATGGGACTAGCATTCATTTTTTGCCCAGTCATCCCTGATTCTTTCCCTCATACAATGCAACGAGTCCAATTCTAACCACTTCTCACCACATCCACCATTGTCACTGCAGTCTCAGCCACTATAATCCCACTGTAGCAGCTTCCTAACTGCTCCCCTTTACCTTCTCCCTTTTGGTCTATTTTTTTTTTTTTTTTTTTAACACAGCACCCAGAGTAACCCATTCATTCATTCATTCATTTATTGAGACAGAGTCTCAAACTGCATCCCAAAATCCTGGGATTACAGGCTTAAGCCATCGCATCCAGCCAAGAGTAATCCTTTTAAAGATAAGTTACATCAAGTCATTTCACAACTTAAACCCCTTCAAACATCCTAAGTCCTCACCATGATCTAATAACTCCTGCATTACCTGGCATTCACCATCAGTTTGTTTTTTGAGACAGAGTCTCACTGTGTCACCCAGGTTGGAGTGCAGTGGTGTGATCTTGGCTCACTGCAAACTCCGCCTCTCAGGTTCAAGCAATTCTCATGCCTCAGCCTCCTGGGTAGCTGGAATTACAGGTGTGTACCACTATGCCCAGCTAATTTATGAATTTTAGCAGAGACAAGATTTTGCCATGTTGGCCAAATTGGTCTTGAACGCCTGGCCTCAAGTGATCCACCCTCAGCCTCCCACAGTGTTGGGATTACAGGTATTAAGCCACTATGCCCAGCCTCAAGTACCATCAATCTTATCTCTTAACACTCAAATACCATCAATCTTCTCTCTCATTTTTCTCTACTCATGACTTTGGCCTTCCACTGTTTCTTAAACAAGCCAAGCTTTTTCCAAACCTAAAGGCCTAATCCATCTGCCAAGAGCATCTCCTCCCAGATACCCTCACTCAGTTCCCTACTCAGACGCCCCCTCCTCAGGGACCTCCTTGTCTACTCTATCTAAAACACACATCCTGGAGCCTCATTCCTCTCTTATCCCCTTACCTTGCTTTATTGCTTTATTTGTCTTCAGTGCACTTATCCTGCAATACATTATATTTTCTTGCTATCCCATAAGACTAATCTCCATAAGAAGCAGAATTTTTTTCTCATTTACCGCTTTTCCCCAAATATTTAGAACTGTGCCTGGAACACATTCTATACTTAATTTGTTGGATAAATCAGTAATTATCCAGTACTTTCATATACATTAAGAAAATTTTAGGCCAGGCATGGTGGCTCATGCCTGTAATCCAAGCACTTTGGAGGCCAAGGCGGGCGGATCACCTGAGGTCGGGAGTTCAAGACCACCCTGACCAACATGGTAAAACCCTGTCTTAAAAAAAAAAAGAAAATTTTAAAGAACTGCTCATCACATGTTCATAAAGCAATCGTTAATAGGCGACTATGAAAGTTGGAACTGATGTTCTTCACTTTTGTCTTTACCTGTTAATACTAAAAAGTAAATATAAAGCCATTAATGGGGACATTTACTTCATTTGGGATTTAAATTGTAGGTATATAGGAATTATTAAAGCAATATACTTTAGAGCTTGAGACTGTTTTTTCTTTTCTTCCTTGCTTGTGCTAAGTGTGCTACTGCAGCTCAGATAGAGCTTGAGACTTTTCATCAACATCAGCCATTCAGGGCCTGATTCTAAATTTAGAATGTCTAAGAGACTCTAAAAAAAATTTTGCTGACAAATGTCATGCCCTTTACTCCACTAGAAAAAAAAATGTCTCAAATCTGAGATTCTTCTCCCTAAACAATTCATATAATTAGCTAACGGTTATTAGAATGGTCAGTTCTTGAGTAGGTACTTGCTTTTGCTAAACTCTCTGATAAGACCTTATACATGACTCTCCTTTATTCCTAACAATAGCCCTATGAGGTAGGTAATCCTGTCTCCATTTTCCAATAGAAAAAAAAAAACAGTGAATTTTCTCTACAGTTCCAACACATCAGTATATCAAAGCTAAGTTCATGCTTCAATGACCCAGGCAAATCTAAAAAAGGCTATAGTCGTTTAAACAGAATACAAGAAAGTTTTAGTTCTGACATCTAAAAGGTATGTGCCAGTTTTCTGAAAATACATTCATATTAAGCACCTCATTCTAAAATGGTGTTTTATAAATGTGTTGTAATAATACAGGTGTCGGCCGGGCGTGGTGGCTCACGCCTCTAATCTCAGCACTTTGGGAGGCCGAGGCGGGTGGATCACGAGGTCAAGAGATCGAGACCATCCTGGTCAACATGGTGAAACCCCGTCTCTACTAAAAATACAAAAATTAGCTGGGCATGGTGGCGCATGCCTGTAATCCCAGCTACACAGGAGGCTGAGGCAGGAGAATTGCCTGAACCCAGGAGGCGGAGGTTGCGGTGAGCCGAGATCACGCCATTGCACTCCAGCCTGGGTAACGAGCGAAACTCTGTCTCAAAAAAAAATAATAATAATAATAATAATACAGGTGTCTATTCCATTGTATTCTTTACACAAACACACAAACTGTTGAGACAGCATAATTAATCACTTAAGAGTGAAACAAGTTCTCATAGAGAAGGTAATATTAGAGTCAGAGTTCAAAGGAGGAATAAAAGTTTGCTAGGCACTAAAAATATAGGATGGGAGGAAGGAGCACTCTATGAAAAACATATGAAAAGGAAGAGACCTTGGTGATAAGATTCATTAAGGTAAACATTTTATAGAGATCTACTATATACCAGACCATACAAAGATGACTACTTTGTATGGTTATCACAGTGAACACTGGGGATACAAAGATGACGACTACAACAATCTGTGTTCTCAAGGAGTAAAACTCCAGCGGAAGAAAAGACACAGAAACATAATTATAACATCTAGCGGCTGGTTTTTGTTGTTGTTGTTGTTGTTGTTTTTAGACAGTCTCACTCTGTCACCCAGGCTGGAGCACAGTGGCACCATCTTGGCTCATTGCAACCTCCTCTTCGTACGTTCAAGCAATTCTCCTGTCTCAGCCTCCCGGGTAGCTGGGATTACAGGCACTCAGACTGGTTAATTTTTATATTTTTAGTAGAGACAGGGTGTCACCACGTTGGCCAGACTGGTCTCGAACTCCTGACCTCAAGTGATCCACCTGCCTCTGTCTCCCAAAGTGCTGGGATTACAGGCATGAGCCAGCCCTAGTGGGGTTTTTTTGTTTTTGTTTTTGTTTTTTGTTTTGAGAGGGAGTCTTGCTCTGTCACCCAGGCAGGATGGCAGTAGTGTGATTGGCTCACTGCAACCTCCATCCCCAGAGTTCTAACAATTCTCCTACCTCAGCCTCTGGAATAGCTGGGATTACCGGCACCTGCCACCACACCCAGCTAATATTTTTGTATTTGTAATAGAGACGGGGTTTTGCCACGTTGGCCAGGCTGCTCTCAAACCCTTGACCCCAGGTGATCCACCCGCCTTGGCCTCTCAAAGTGCTGGGATTACAGGCATGAGCCACCATGCCCAGCCACTAGTGGGTTTTATATAACAGTGATTGAGATGTATGTAGTATAAGAAGGGAACACAAGTGGGGCCCAAGAGAGCTTAGGGGCAATTAGGAAAGTTTCCTGAAGAAGGTAAAACCTAGGTTAAAGCAGAGAAGGAAAAGGCTGGAGCACAGGACATATGAAAGGGAAAGGACAAAAGGTCAAAAACCTTTAGGGGCCATTCCAAGGATCTTGGAACTTACCATCTCAAGAAGGAGCTAATAAAGGCTTTTAAACAAGAAGGTGAACTGGTATTTGTCTTTAGGAAGATAACTCGATACAGAAAAGACTGGCAGGGAAAACCATTAACTCACACAAAAAACAAAGGCATGAAGTAAGGCTCAAATAACATGTGTTTGTTAAATGAATAAATTAATGAAGAGAAGAGAAAGAGAGATGAGAAAAATGTATAAGCATTAAGCTGAGGAGTCTATGAGATACCAGCTGGCTATATGCAGAAGGCAGTGGAAAATATAGATCCCAAGTGAGATTTCTAAGTCCTAGGCTAAGGCTATAGGCTATACATGTGTCATTATGCTAAGTAATTACAGCTGGAAGACAAAGAGTAGAAACACTCACTGTGATATGTCTGTGGGTCAGCCAAGTGATTATAACCAACAGGCAGCTGAATATACAAGTCTGGGTTGAAGACAGAGCTCAGGCTTACATCAGTGTGCAGGTGACAAGGGCAAGGAACATGAAGGAAATCTCCCGGAGCGGTTACCTAAGAAATGATAAACCTAACATTTATGTAGCCCTCAGTATGGCTCATTTAATCCTCATTAACAACCTATGAAGTAGATACTATTATTTCATTTTACAGGTGGTTATTTCTCCGATAATATGGGGTAAAGAACTACATAAAACAAGCAAGGCCCAAGAGAGATTCAAGGAGAACTAGGAGCAAGTAATGTCAGAAATTAAGTTAGAGGGTTCAAGAAGAGGTAATCTATGGTCAATGCCATGGAAAATTTGAGTAGGACAAAAATGGAAGAAAAAGAAAGGAAGGGTTGGGCACGGTGGCTGAGGCCTGTGATCCCAGCACTTTGGGAGCCCTAGGAGGGTAGATCATGAGCTCAGGAGTTCAAGAGTAGCCTGGCCAATATGGTGAAACCCCATCTCTACTAAAAATACAAAAAATTAGCCAGGCTTGGAGGCAGGTGCCTGTAATCTCAGCTACTCGGGACGCTGAGGCAGAGAACTGCTTGAACCTGGGAGGCGGGGGGTTGCAGTGAGCTGAGATTATTACCCCACTGCACTGCAGCCTAGGCAACAGAGCCAGACTCCATCTCAAAAAATAGAAAAAAAAGGGGGGGAGGACAGGACATGGGATATTTCACAACTGAAGGACATTAATAGTTATGACTTGATTACATGCAGTTTTAGGAAGAAGGACAAGAAATATATTGGAGTAAGCTGCAAGTAAGTTGAGGAAGTGAAAACAGTGATCATAAGACTAGTCTCTCAAGAGGTCTAGCAGTGAAGGAATCTCTAGTGTTGAGGTGTTTAGGAAGCAGGTAACAAAGTGTTGAGTGCAGTAGGTATAACACATATCTCATTTAACATGTCCATTTTTAAAGATGCAGGAGATTCAGAAATGCTAACAAACTTGTTCAAAGTCATACAGAGAGTGAAGTGGCAATCAAAAAATTCCCCTCCCAGGTAACATAAAGCTGACTAGACGGCTATTTATATAACACACCGATTGAACAAGAATTTCTTAAGAATCTAATCTGTACATGCAGTTACATAATGTTCACTGTGATAAGCATCTAACTTACCTTAAGAAACAAAAAGAACTGACTTGAGAAACAAATGAACTCAGAAAAACTTTAGCCTGCCTGCAGTGTTCCCATTAATAAAGCTTTCAAAAGAGTCCATAAATCTGTATCACAATAATGAGTGCCTACTCAGTGAAGAACTTTGCCACATCACCCTCAGGTTCAGTGGGGAAAAAGGGAAACAACAATGGATAGAATTTACAATCCAGAGCAAAAAAATTTTCCCTCTTGCACCCAAAGGTTTGCCCTAATACAACACTTTTACATATCACAGAACTGGGTCATTAAGTAATTAGCAAAACTAAAGAACAAGAACAAATTCTCATTTACATTAGTATGGTTAGTATAATCTCTTAGCCAATGTGGCAAAATCCAAAACAAAGCCAGCCTCTTAGAAAAATGGAACTTGGCTAGCCTTTGTTAAAAACTTTCTCCACTTTCTTTCCCATAGGAAAAAGGGACTCTTCCCTGGTTAATACAGTAGTTCTATATCTATGGGAGACACAGTGCAAGACTCCCAGCAGATGCCCAGAACTGTGGGATAGCAGTGAACACAACACACATTATTTCCTATACATACCTATTATAAAGTTTCATTTACAGGCTGGGCGCAGTGGTTCACCCCTGTAATCCCAGCACTTTGGGAGGCCAAGATGGGCAGAATATCTGAGGTCAGGAGTTTGAGACCAGTCTGACCAACATGGTGAAACCCTGTCTCTACTAAAAATACAAAAATAAACTGGGCGTGGTAGCACACACCTGTAATCTCAGATACTTTGGAGGCTGGGCATGAGAATCTCTTGAACCCAGGAGGCGGAGGTTGCAGTGAGCCAAGATTGTGCCAATGCACTTCAGCGAGACTCTGTCTTGGAAAAAAAAGAAGTCTCAAAAAAGTTATGCACAGTAAGAGATTAACAACAATATATTGTATTAAAATTTACTTGAACATGGTCAAAAGTTCTTTCCTCTGTCCACCATTCTTTCATTGGGCCAAATGCTGGGCCAGATCCTGAGAAATAAGAGATAAAATAGGCTGGCCCAGCCTTCATGAAATGCACTAGGAGAGGAAACAATTAATGCACATACTTCATTAAAACTAATGATTAACTTCTGCTAAGGAGAATAAAGAGTTTAAGGGTGCACACTAAGCCGAGTGTGGTGGCTCACACCTGTAATCTCAACACTTTGGGAGGCCAAGGCAGACAGATGACAAGGTAAAGAGATCAAGACCATCCTGGCCAACACTGTGAAACCCTGTCTCAAAAAAAAGAAATCAATAAAAGAAGCACAGGTAAAAGCCAAAAGCAGCAGCCATCCTTTTGCTGGGCGGGGTGGCTCAAGCCTGTAATCCCAGCACTTTGGGAGGCTAAGGCAGGCGGATCACGAGGTCAGAAGCTGGAGAGCAGCCTGACCAACAGGGTGAAACCCCACCTCTACTAAAAATACAAAACTTAGCCAGGTGTGGTAGTGCATGCCTGTAATCCCAGCTACTCAGGAGTCTGAGGCAGGAGAATCGCTTGAACCCAGGAGGCAGAGGTTGCACTGAGCTGAGATCCGAGCCACTGCACTCCAGCCTGGGGGACAGAGAGAGACTCCATGTCAAAAAAAAAAAAACCAGGAGAAACCCCGTCTTTTTTAAAAAAATTTTTTAACTTTTTTGTATTTAAAAAAATTTTTTTAATTAAAAAACAAAGAGTTCAAGGAGGGCTTAATGGGGGTGGGGTGGTTTCCAGAGGAAGTGATATGTGAGCTGGTATCTGAGACAGGTTTAAGAGTTGGAGGCAGAGAATACAGCATTAGAGGTGGAGGAAACTCCTAAAGGCCAGGAGATAGGAAAGAGAATGAAGCTTTCCAGTAACAAAAATAAAGTCAGTGTGGCATGAACCTGGAGAGAAAGAAGGAAAGTGGGTCAAATAAACTAGAGACAGAAAGAGTGGGCTCACTCAGTACTCTGATCTTTGTCATAAGAGTGTGAAACCTCAGATGGGTTCTAAGCATGTGATTCACTAAAACACATGCATTTCTAAACGATTAATCAATGCCACAGAGCTCCTTCCAAAACCCATTCTCACACCCAGACAACCGACACTGCCCAACTTTTAAAAAGCCAAAAAAAAAAGGGTTTCAAATTGAATTCTACTTCAAGGAAGAGGAAACCAAGTTTTCTAGGGAAAAGAAAGTAAACAGGTGGTGGCCACTTAAAGATTAAAAAGTGACTATCGGGCTGGGCGCGGTGGCTCAGGCCTGTAATACCAGCACTTTGGGAGGCTGAGGCAGGTGGATCACTTGAGGTCAGGAGTTCGAGACCCGCCCGGTCCAAAACGATGAAACCTTGTCTCTACTAAAAATACAAAAATTAGCTGGGCATGGTGGCGCATGCCTGTAATCCCAGTTACTCAGGAGGCTGAGGCAGGAGAATCGCTTGAATCCAGGAGGTGGAGGTTGCAGTGAACCAAGATGGCACCACTGCACTCCGGCCTGGGCAACAAAGCTAGACCCCATCTCAAAAAAAAAAAAAGTGACCAACGAACTTAACCTATATATAAATACAGAGAATAAAGTTCAAATAGTTGTTTCCCATTTAGAAATAACCTTACAATATACATATTATTTAAACTACATGGCCATTAGGATTTAGGGAAAACAGAAACTGACATACATCCTAATATTTTAAAATAAAACATTAGCTTGATTAAAGGTTCTGGTGCCCATGCAGATTTTCATGTCTTACTAATGCCATCTTTCCCTTCACACATTTTCCCTAAATCATTGAAAAGCTGACTTCCCGAGTGCATTTTTGGTTTCGTTTTTTAAAGAAAAAAACGTCTTCTAATTCCTAACTTTCTTTACTACCGACTTGAGAGATGCCATGCGATTTGGGGAACAGCAAACCAGCGTGCAGGGTTTAAAACGCTGCCCGTGACCCGGGCGCCTGATGGTAACTTTCCCGCCCTCTCCTCCCCGACTCTCTGGCACTCGGCGAGTCTCAACCTCCCCACAGGACAGCCCAACCAAGGCCGGGCCGGAGCTGCCGCCGCCACCGCTTCTCCCTTCCCCGTGGGCTGAGGCCGGTGGGACCTAGGCGGGAAGCAAGGAGCGGCACGGGAGTACCACCGTTACCTGAGTGAGGCCCGCACCCAGCAGCGGGGGCTTCGGCCAAAAGGGAGAGCCCGGAAGCGACCACAGAGCAGACAGCTGGAAGGTCGGCTCCGGGAAGCTCTCTGGCGCCCAGGGCCCGCAACGTCGCCGGCCGGGCGGCAGAGAAAGATAAAGCGCTGGACAGCCCGGCCCCTACGCCCCCTGCCTCCCAGCTCCGCTGCGTCACGCGCAGGGCCAGCGCCGGCTGAGCATCCTATTGGTGGTCCCGAGGTTGCCTGGCTCCGCCCACCTCCCCGCCCCTTTCCGGGCGCGCGGGTCTCTGGCGCCAGTGCTCTCAGCTGGTCCTGGCGGCCTGCCAGGGAAGATTCTCACCCGCATAACATGACACGGGCGACAACATCTTGCTTGACACTTCCACCCTAACGGTAGAAAGTGCAGCCGAAACGGGACTACGACAACTCCCTGCAAGTCCGAAACGGCACCCTGCGTGGCAGCGTGGAGCTCCGGGGCGTTTGGCTCCTAGGCCGGCTGGCAGAAGCCGCTTTTGGAGCTGTGTATCATTGCAATTTGAACTGACCATCCAGGAACAACGCAGAACTACTAGCCAGAAGCAAGAATCTCTGGCTTATCTGCACACCAAGATTCGTGCCTTTATCCGGAGCTGACTTATGCTTTGAAAACCAGAGTCCTTCAGCAACATTCAAACTAGATAAGGAGACAAAAAACCTGCACCAAATAATAAAACACACCAAATAATGGGACAACTAAGGGCCATTGAGGCTGGGCCCTTTAGGCTGGGCGCCGTGGCTCACGCCTGTAATCCCAGCACTTTGAGAGGCCTAGGCAGGTGGACACCTGAGATCAGGAGTTCAAGATCAGCCTGACCAACATGGTGAAACCCCACCTCTACTAAATATAAAAAATTAGCCTGGCCTGGTGGCATGCGCCTGTGATCCCAGCTATTCAGCAGGCTGAGGATTTCTTGAACCCAGAAGCCAGAGGTTGCAGTGAGCCAAAACTGTGCCATGCACTCCAGCCTGGGCAACAAGAGCGAAACTCCTCAAATAAATAAATAAATTAAATAAAGGGCCTCTGACTTCATAATCAAAGGAAGAATGATGCAGAGAGATTTGGGACAGAGATTAAATACAACAGTTAATCACCTGGAATTTGTGAAGGCAGAGCTGTAGGTGAATTTAGGGTAAAGGTAGGTGAAAAGACGATGAGAGGAGCAGAGATTGAAGAGTCGAACTCACAGCCTGCAAACTAATATCAGCTAGCCTGGCCTGGCTAACCACTTCTTCCCCACTCTTCTCCAGGACAGGAATCCGTGAACAAATGGATAAAGTTTAACAAAACTGACTACTCTCTGCGGTCCTTTAAACAAAATGGGTTTGTACACGTTCCCTTGACCACCCAGCAGGCTGCTCTGTTCACTCCAAAGCAGAACTGGCCAGTTGAGTTTAGTACTGTCTGTCATTGGCAGACCTTCTCTGTTTGGCCTCTTCTACAACTGTGATTGCCACGTGTGCCTACTAGTTGGTGACAGGGTCTGATAGATCCCAGCTGCTTCCCCTCACCCATCCCACTAGTTATAGAGCAGTAGGAACATCGGGACTCATTTCTGTTGGAACTCTGTTGGCCACCTTCTATATACACCAAGATGACTCTTCTTTTCACTGTTGGATTCATACATTCAAAAAATGTTGGTAGGCCGGGCGCGGTGGCTCACACCTGTAATCCCAGCACTTTGGGAGGCTGAGATGGGTGGATCACGAGGTCAGGAGTTCAAGACCAGACTGGCCAACATGGTGAAATCCCATCTCTTCTAAAAAATACAAAAATGAGTTGGGCATGGTGGCTCATGACTGTAATCCCAGCTACTTGGGAGGCTGAGGTAGGAGAATTGCTTGAACTGGGACCCGGGAGGCAGAGGTTGCAGTGAGCCGAGATCATGCCACTGCACTCCAGCCTGGGCTACAGAGCAAGGACTCCGTCTCAAAAAAAAAAAGTTGATAGTGTTCTTGGTGCTAGAAATACAGTGGTGAATAAAACAGAAGAAGCCCCTGCACTTAGAGGCTTATGTTCTGCAGGATTATGTATGAAAGGAAACAAACAGTCCGGGCATGGTGGCTCACACTGTAATCCCAGCACTTTGGGAGGCCGAGGCAGGTGGATCACCTGAGGTCAAGAGTTCGAGACCAGCCTGACTAATATAGAGAAACCCCATCTCTACTGAAAATACAAAATTAGCCCGGCATGGTGGCATGTGCCTGTAATCCCAGCTACTGGGGAGGCTGAGACAGGAGAATTGCTTGAACCTGGGAGGCAGAGGTTCCAGTGAGCCAATATTGCGCCATTGTACTCCAGCCTGGGCAACAAGAGTGAAACTCCATCTCAAAAAATAAAAATAAAAAGGAAACAAACAAACAGGTGCCTCAAGCCTATAATCCCAGAACTTTGGGAGGCCGAGGCAGGAAGATCACTTTGAGGCCAGGAGTCCAAGACCAGCCTGAGCAGAGTAGTGAGACCCTCCTCTCTACAGAATTCTTTTTTTTTTGTTTGTTTTTTGAGATGGAGTTTCCCTCTGTCGCCCAGGCTGGTATGCAATGGTGCAATTCTGGCTCACTGCAACCTCCACCCCCTGGGTTCAAGCCATTCTGCTGCCTCAGCCTCCTGAGTGACTGGGATTACAGGCATGTATCACCACACCTGGCTAATTTTGTATTTTCAGTAGAGATGGGGTTTCCCCATGTTGGTCAGGCTGGTCTCAAACTCCTGACCTCAGGGGATCTGCCCACCTCGGTCTCCCAAAGTGCTGGGATTACAAGCATGAGCCACCGCACCCAACCCAGAATTTAAAAAGAAAAAAAATTGCTGGGAATTGTGGCATGCACCTGTGGTCCCAGCTACTCGGGAGGTGGAGGCAGGAAGATTGCTTGTGGTGGGGGGCCAGAGGCTGAGGGCCAGAGGATGCAGTGAGCCAAAAAATCAGCCACTGTACTGCAGCCTGGTCGACAGAGTGGGACTCTGTCTCAAACAAACAAACAAAAGCTTATGTTTCTAAGGGAGAACATAAATAATAAACAGATGAGATAATCACAGGCAGTGATAAGTGTTGAGCAGAAAACAAAACAGAATGGTCCGGGAAGGACTTTCTGAGGAGGCGATTTAGGAGCTAAGACCTAAAAGACAAGAAGGAGCCAGCCAGGCCAACCGGGGTGGCGGGGGAAGAACATTTTAGACAAAGGATAATGGGTGTGAGGCCCGGATGCTGAACTGTGGCTGATGCTGAAGCATGGCTGTTTGAGGAACAGGCCAGGAGGCTTGAGAATGTTAAGCAGGGGTTTGAAGTTGAGTTTGGAGCATTAAGCAGGAACCTAATCAAGTTGTTTGGATTTTTTTGTTAATTACAAAGGCAAGATAATGAAGGATTTGGGTTTTTGTTGTTGTTTTGAGATGCGGTCTCACTCTGTCATCTAGGCGGGAGTGCAGTGGCACAATCAGGGCTCACTGCAGCCTCTACCTCCCCAGTCTCGATAAGCCATCCTCCCACCTCAGCCACTCTAGTAGCTGGAACTACAGGCAGGTACCACCAAACCCCACTAATTTTTGTATTTTTTGTTTCTTGGCTGGGCACAGTGACTCACACCTGTAATCCCAGCACTTTGGGAGGCCAAGGTAGGTGGATCACAAGCTCAGGAGTTCAAGACCAGCCCGGCCAATATGGTAAAACCCCATGTCTACTAAAAATACGAAAAAAAAAAAATAGCCAGGTGTGATGTCACCTGCCTGTAATCCCAACTACTCAGGAGGCTGAGGCAGGAGAATTGCTTGAACCTGGGAGGTGGAGGTTGCAGTGAGCAGAGATCTTGCCATTGCATTCCAGCCTAGGCAACAGAGTGAGACTCTGCCTCAAAAAAAAAAAAGAGAGAGAAAGAGATGGAGTTTCACTGTGTTGCCCAGGCTGGTCTTGAACTCCTGGACTTAAGTGATCCTCCTGCCTCAGCCTCCCAAAGTGCTGGGATTATAGGCACGAGCCACTGTGCCTAGGCAGTGGTTTGTTTTTTTTAAAACAACTTATTTTTTTTCTTTTTCTTTCAGTAATGGCTATAAGCAATATTTTTTCTTTCATTACAATTCAAGATGATAAATCAACCTATTTTATAAAGAATGACTTGGAAGGGAGCAGAAATGGAACAAAAAGCAGCTAAAGAACAATACAAAGTTATTGGGCGAGTTCACAGGGTAGATGGTGGTACCTGGATTCAGTTGGTTGCTGTGGAAATGGAAATGAAAAGATTTCAGGATATTTTCCTGAGGTGCAGGTGTGAAGAAAGATGACCCTCAGGTTGTTTCCTTAAGCAATTGGGAGGATAGTGATACCATTTAGTGCAAGGTCAAAGACGATATATGATTGGAGGGACTCCAAAGCCTCTGCTCAGACTCCAAGCCTCTCTCACCACTGCACTGGAAATCTCACATTACTCAATCCTTGGAAATCAAGGTTTGGTTTAATGCAAGTGTTGACCTTATCTTATTAAAAGAAAAAAAAACAGGTGTACAGAACTTAAATAGTTGCTAGTGCTATTAGTGCTATAAAGATGAATTAGACTGCCTATTAGAGACACAAATAAGTATAAGCTATTTCAAAACAGTGAGATAAGTGTTACAATAAAAGGATGTTAAAGGCCAGGCGTGGTGGTTCACGCCTGTAATTCCAGCACTTTGGGAGGCCAAGGTGGGCAGATCACCTGAGGTCAAGAGTTCGAGACCAGCCTGGCCAACATGGTGAAACCCTGTCTCTACTGAAAATTCAAAAAATTAGCTGGGTATGGTGGCGGGCGCCTATAATCCCAGCTACTTGGGAGGCTGAGGCAGGAGAATCGCTTGAACCTGGGAGGCGGAGGTTGCAGTGAGCAGAGATTGTGCCACTGCACTCCAGCCTGGGTGACAGAGCAAGACTCTGTCTCAAAAAAAAAAAAGTGTCTACCTAACAGGGTCATTGTGAGGATTAAATGGGTTAATGTCTTCAAAGCTTCAAATACAGACACTGGTATATAGAAGTGCTCAACCAATATTAATAGTTACTATTATTTTATTTTTATTCTTATTTTTGGAGACAGATTTCTTGCTCTGTCACACAGGCTGAAGTGCAATGGCATGATTCTAGCCCACTGCAGCCTCAAACTTCTGGACAAAAATTATGCTCCTGCCATAGCCTCGTGAGTAG